GGTATTTGATCGCTGAAGACATAACAATGACTGTGAATGAGTGGATGAGCGGAGACGCGGCCCAAAAGACCCACACATTGGCCGTCACTCGTGATTACATATCACAGCCGCGGCTCACATACAAGACTGTGACCGGAGTTAACGGTCCGCTCGTTATCTTAGATGACGTAAAGTTCCCGAAGTTCTCGGAGATCGTGAGACTAACTTTGGCCGACGGAACCCAACGCACGGGACAAGTGCTCGAAGTGAGCGGTTCTAAGGCTATCGTTCAGGTCTTTGAGGGCACCTCTGGTATCGACGCCCGACACACGGTCTGCGAGTTCACAGGTATTCCCACATTAGATGCCATTTCGTTGTCGAGCAGTCATTAATTAACCGTTTGTTTGATTCAAAGGCGATATTCTGCGAACTCCAGTGTCAGAGGATATGTTGGGCCGAATCTTCAACGGTTCCGGTAAACCCATAGATCGAGGGCCGCCTGTTTTGGCCGAAGACTATCTCGATATCCAGGGACAGCCCATTAACCCCGAATCGCGCACATATCCCGAAGAGATGATCCAAACGGGCATTTCTGCCATCGATGTCATGAATTCTATAGCTAGAGGTCAAAAGATCCCAATCTTTTCGGCTGCGGGTCTTCCGCACAATGAGATCGCGGCGCAGATCTGTCGACAGGGAAGTCTTGTGAAGCACGCGGGAAGTGATATCGTGGACGACAACTTCGCCATCGTGTTCGCGGCGATGGGTGTGAATATGGAAACGGCCAGATTCTTCAAACAGGACTTCGAGGAGAACGGATCCATGGAAAACGTCTGCCTTTTCCTCAACTTAGCCAACGACCCAACCATTGAGCGCATTATAACACCGCGTTTGGCGCTGACAGCGGCCGAGTTCTTAGCCTATCAGTGCGAGAAACACGTTCTCGTCATCCTTACTGATATGTCTTCTTACGCCGAAGCCTTACGTGAAGTAATTATCACACAATTGATCCATAATTTGCCAATTATTATAACACTTGTATGTCTGTAGGTGTCGGCCGCTCGAGAGGAAGTTCCCGGTAGACGTGGTTTCCCCGGTTATATGTACACCGATTTGGCCACTATTTACGAGAGGGCCGGTCGTGTGGAGGGAAGGACCGGATCTATTACACAAATTCCAATCCTAACGATGCCTAACGACGACATAACGCATCCAATTCCCGATCTGACGGGTTATATCACTGAAGGACAAGTCGCTATTGACCGACAACTGCATAACAGACAGATCTATCCACCTATTAATGTATTGCCGTCTTTGAGTCGTCTCATGAAGTCTGCGATCGGAGAGGGAATGACACGTAAAGATCACGCGGACGTCTCTAATCAGTTGTACGCGTGTTATGCGATCGGCAAAGACGTACAGGCGATGAAGGCTGTGGTCGGAGAGGAGGCGCTCACTCCCGAAGACTTGTTGTATTTGGAATTCTTAGGCAAATTCGAGAAGAACTTTATATCACAGGTAAGACAGTGTGACCACAATGTGTGAAACTATTGAAACAATGAATGTTTGAATATTAGGGCAATTATGAGAACCGAACGGTCTTCGAGTCGTTGGACATCGGATGGCAATTGCTTAGGATTTTCCCGAAAGAGATGTTGAAACGTATCCCACAGTCAACGTTGACTGAGTTCTACCCGAGACAGACGGGCGCCGGCGTCGCGATGGCCACCGCTTCGACCAAAAAGCACTAAATTTGACAATTAATTAATTCCATTATATTTTTATCCAATTATGTGTGGGTTTAAGGATTCCAGTACTAGTCGAGAGTTTATTGATTTCAAATAAACATTATTTCATTAATTAATTCCAGCCAAGAACTCAATAATAATTAAATTAAACTTATATTAAAGTTATATATCAAACAAATTAATACATAAGAGTATTAAACACTTGAATGTTTAGTCTGTAATTATAATTACAGTCTATTGTTGTAAACTATATAATAATCTTCCGATAAAGAGAGTAATGTTTTATCGGAAATATATGTCAATAATGTTTTAGAAATTTTAAGTTTAATTATAAATAAAGAATTGAATATAAATTAACAATAAAATCATTTTATTCACAGAAAAAGTATTTCAATCCTAATTCGACTACAATTACAAAAAACAGATACAATGAGTGATAGTTTGATAATAAACACAATTTAGGTAATCATGAAGTATGAGATCAAATGAGAGATGTGTTGAAATGTGTTGAATGTCTTATTATTAAAGTAATGTATTTATTCGAAGCTAACAGTCATTTGTCTGCATTTATATCACAGAACAATTGGAACCAATTTGTTGTGAAATGTGTGATAACTTGAGAATCATTGACAAAATATTTCAATACAAAGCTATTAAATATTAGTCAGATTTGTCTGAATAGTCGTCTGTATCTTCATCTGACTCCTCCTCATCGATAACTATATCGAAGTTCTCCTCTTCGATGTCTTCTTCGATGTCTTCCTCTTCGTCTTTAATAAAATTGGTTCTGTTTTCGGACTTTATTTTCCTATTATTTTTAGCCAATTGTGAGGTTTGACTGCTTTGAGACGGTTTAGGCTTTCGGTACTCGTGGACTAATGGATAGATCCTTTCGACGGCTTCCTGAATGTGGCCAATACTACGCGCTGTAATAGTGATGGATCCGGTCTGAAACACCTTAAGTACGGCTCTGATGTCCTTCATTCGGTATGTGGCGCCGGGATGTAGTTCCGGCTCATAACTGACATTACAATCATAAATGCATTCAATTGAGTCATCAAATTGCGATTACAAGACATTAGTGTTAAGACATAACTCAAGACATACCTGCAATACTTGCGGTGCTCTGAACTAAACTCATTGATTTTGATACCAAATGGGAGAATACAAGTGCCCAACACATTCACCACTTGGAAGTCATTGAACTTCACCTTAAAGCCCATCTTCTGAAGACTACGAGCGACACGACGGGCACCGCATTTGGCCGAGTCTTCAGTGGTCGCACCGAAACACGAGATCTTTCCCGACGACCAGATACTAGCGGTGACTCGAGGGGCCCGTAGTTTCATGAGAATCATCTGAACACAAATCAACAAACAATGAAACACATGATCAATGATATGGTGTTTGATATACCGATTGTTCTCTCCTGTATTCAACATTAGATCCCTTACAAGCGATTTGTCTCAGATTGAGATGACATTTGACACTGAAAGACGCGACAACATTGTTGATAGTGATGTCCACTTCGGGCTCCGGCTCTTCGATGGACTCGTTTTGGCAATTATTGTCACCATTTTGTTCACTCACTACTTCTTGCTTGATGTCAGTGTCGATGGTGTGAATTATGGACTGATTTATGCCATTTTGAGCATTCATTTCATATAATCTGACTATTAATTGACAAAATTGTCGACAATTTCTATCAATTGTATTATCAAAACCAAAATAAGTATTATTTTTAATGTGATAATCGGTTTATCCGATCAATAAATGGTTAAAATTGTTATTAATTATCATAAAATACATTTTTCACACCAAAATGCCTGTCATTAAGCATTTAATTAAAGGCAACACACAATCAATTCAACGCTTGATATCGTATTTCATTAAATGAGACTAATTTTAAATTTAATTAAAAGGCAAATGATTTTAACGTTAAATATAATGAATGAATGAATGAAATGTAAATCCAAACCAAACGTAAAGCCAATGAATGAGTGAATTGTAGAGCGAATGCAATACACAAACAATGCATTCACTCCTCTCTACACTCTTTCGCACAATTCTCACACAATTCTCATATAATTCTCATTCACTCAACACTATTCACACCGCATCTCATCCGAGATCATCGATGATTGTAATACTATTTCAATCACTATTATTACCGGTATTAGTCTTCGTATGATATTTGCATTCTTATATTCAACGTTAATTCATTGATCACTATTTGTAAACTAAAGGGTCGTTTAAAAAGCGGTCAAATTGTTGTGCACTTATTATATAAACTTTTTACATCGATTACATTCGCACTTTCGCTTACATTCACATACTTTACATTTCTTTGAGTTAATTTTTATCACACGTCAAAAGTTGTGTACAAATTATATTTGCATTCAAACTTATTAAATGCAATTTTAGCACATTTATTGTCATGCAATTTATTTCTCAAACAATTTCTAAATTGGTCAAATGAAATTCACATTCATGCAATTCTTAAATATTAACATTATTGTATCAAATATTTAACTTTGTATTTATAGTTTTTATTCAACTATAATTAAATTGTAATTGTTATTGTAATGATGAAGATTTATATTTAATAATTGTTTATTTCTTTAATTTTAAAAACTTTTACACAATAATTGTATATATTATTAGCCATATATTGTTTGAATGCAAAGAATAATTGTAATAAAGAATAACAACTTTAATATTAATATACATTTATTAGTATTCAATGATTTACTGTATTACTGTATTTATAAATAATCAATAAAACAATTAAAATTGAAATTAAAACTTGATGTGAGTATAATTAAAATGAAATTCATTTTATAATTCTGTTATTTTATTGCCTAAAAGTGATGAATATTTCTATGAAACTAAACTAAAATGTTAAGAACTAAAGTGCAAACTATTGAAAACTGCTAAACAACAAGTGGTCACACTTTTAAACACTTCCATACGATTGCCAACCAATCATTAACTATTTTGAATGTAATTACAAACTTAATCTCTTTTCCATCCGTTGTAACACTGGATGAGTACTGTATTGTCCATCAAATGTGTATACTTTCTCGTGTCTTGGTTTACAAAGTGACTCTTACTGTCCATTCGGTGATTATCTCCATATTTTACTCGTAATGTTTGTCCCAAATGTGGCAAAACTGGAAGACGGGAAGCGATGGACAAGTGATGGATCAGTGATGGGAGTGCGAGGAGGAGGGGAGGGGGAGAGGGGAAGAGGGATGGGATGTCGGGATGTTGTGGTCGTAATTGATGTTCTGGTGTTGTGTTGTGTAGAGTTGTGTTGACGTAGAGGTGAGTGCTGTGAGTGCTGTGATTGTGGCCAATGGGAGAGTGTATTGTCTCAGCCTTTATAGAGTGGACAAAATGGGCGACATTTGTGACTAGTGTTTGGCTAACTGTTCACGAGATCGGGAGTGAGACTATCAGAGACCGATTGGCCATTCATTTGCTCATACATTGAGTCCAGTTGTGGCCACAGATGTGACGAGTGATCGACTAATGCTATCACAAGTGTTTGTAGTAATGATAATAACGAGTGAATTGCGACTCAATGTGTGAATACATTGTAATAGCGCTGAATATAAGTGAATAACAATCTCTGATAATTGTATACATTGTTTGCACACATGATATATGTTGTGGTCATATCTGTGCCATCGAGTGATGGCATTCCTCCACAGCAGTGAAGAGTCCGTCAGTGAAGTGCCAACACATACCACATGTCCTACACTTGAGTTGAACTGAACTTTTTGTTTAATTCATTCACTGATTGAGTGATTGTTTTTAACTTTTATTTATATATAAATTACTATTAATTACTATTACTATTCATATTATATATAATTATAATTGAATTGTTTGTCGATTTAATTAGCGGTCAATACATTACAAGTAATATATTCTTAACTATAATTATTTATTATTATTATAACTGTTGGAAGTGTTGGACCAATTGCGGTGACAATAACTCCAATCACTTAATTTAGTTCACCATTAATACCATTAATACTATTTATGTGTTTAATCCATAAGAAGAGCTCTATTTTCTGAGTTTTATTGTATTTAAAATACTATTTAAAGATTGATTTTATTATTTAATTCTCGTTTCAAGTATTGAAAAACATTGTAAACAAATAGTTGTCATCTCTTATGCATAGACTATATATAACTAAATATATCACAAATCTGTACATAATTTGAATCATTAGTTAATTGTTTTCGACATTATATAAACACAATTAACAGTTGCTTTCGTTTTGATTATATAATAACCTGTAATACAATTTGATAAATGTTTACACTTTGACCGCAAACTCGTGTTAACACATGTAAAATGAGTTACTGTTTAAATATAGACAAATCCAGAGACAGATAGACATTTGATAATTGTTTTGATTACTAATTATAAACACAATGAGTGATCACATGAATAACATGGGAACTGTGGCCACGTCTGTGGCATCGGTCACCACATCCGTTGGTCAGTCGCCCGCAACCAATAACATGAACCACGACTCCATCGGTCAGCCGCAGCCCAGCAAACGACTCAAAATGAGTGATTCAACCGACTCTATCTTCAATTATCTGGATCTATTGCCCGAAGAGTTGTCCACTAACTCCATGTCCAACGTTGACAACGGGCTGCTCGGCATCAACTCAAATACGGTGACCACTGCTACGGCCAACACATCGACTCTGTCTTCGGTGACCACAACGCCTCCACAACAACAACAACAGCCGCACCAAAACTTATCTCAATTGCTTCAGTCAAAGACTGTGAACAACATCGGCCCACAGACGCCCCCTCAGCGGATGATGACCTCAACACTACAGCAACAGTTGGGTCTTCCGCCACAGCCCAGGCCTTCGCTGCGATACCCGAACCAACAGAACGCCAACTCAATACCACCCGTTCCTCATATGCAACTCATTCAACAGCAACAGTATCTGCAGCAACAACAGCAACAGCAACAACACACGCAGTTCAACGTTCAACCACCACAAGCACCGGCACAACAGAGACAAACGGCTGCAACACTTCAACAACAAACACAGTTTCGCTATAATATGCCTCAAAATCAATCACCGGTTCAACAACAGCAACAACAACAGCAACCAGTGATCAATCTTCAGGCGCCGGTAACGCCACAAATGTTACCGACCACTCAATTAAAGCCCAATCAGCCGCAGATGCCGGCGGCGCCCAACACCGCCACCACAGACCCCGAGAAGCGGAAACTAATTCAACAACAATTAGTACTTTTACTTCACGCCCATAAATGTCAGCGAAGAGAACAACAACAGCGACAGAATGGAGGCACTGAACCACAGAGACAGTGCTCTCTACCACACTGTCCAACCATGAAGAATGTTCTCAACCATATGACCACTTGTACTGCCGGTAAGTGTTTCTAATTAATATATTAATGAATTGATACTAAATTGTGTTGAATTATTAGGCAAATCATGTAATGTCGCCCACTGTGCGAGTTCTCGACAAATCATATCCCATTGGAAGAACTGCACGCGCGGTGACTGTCCCGTGTGTTTGCCGCTCAAACAGGCCTCTGACCGCAGAGCAGCCGTTACTTTGGCTCAACAGGTATTCATTGTTATTATTTCTAATCGAGAAATATTTTATTAATTATGCGTTAATTCCAAAGCAACAGCAAAACCTACCGACTCCTCAAATGTCACAATTAATGCCAAACACAACACAAGTCCCACAAATGCTATCGACGCCACCGCAGCCTTCATTGAGTACAGTGTCTAACGTAACCAATCAGACACAGCAGCAGCAGCAACAACAACAACAACAACAGCAACAACAACAACAACAACAGCAACAACAACAACAGCAGCAGCAACAGCAACAACAACAGCAAACGCCACAAATGCTTCAACACCAGCAGGATATGCAACGCGCGTACCAGGCGTTGGGCCTTCCGTTCAACAACTCATCTCCCACTCCATCACAACCGCAGATGTCTTCGAACCGATTGCAGTCGTCGTCGCCGTTCTCTCAGCCGCAGACGAAGGAATGGCACGGATCGGTGACTCTGGATCTGCGTAACCATTTGGTCCAGAAGATAGTGCAGGCAATCTTCCCCACACCCGACCCCAACGCCTGTCAGGACAGACGAATGGTTAATCTCGTGGCTTACGCTAAGAAAGTGGAGGGAGATATGTATGACCAGGCGAACAGTCGGGAGGAATATTACCATTTGTTGGCCGAAAAGATATATAAAATACAGAAAGAGTTGGAAGAGAAGCGACAGAAGAGACGCGAACAGAACAACAGTCTTCAGTCGCCTCAACCACCCAATCAGATGACGCCCACACCTAATCAGATTCAGCCAATTCGTGGCCCACAGCCAAACCTGTTGGGAATGCCGGCACAGCGTATGACTACTGGTCTCACTGGTCAACCGCCACCCAATGTCACGCTTTCCCAACAATCCTTTAATCCTCAGCAAAACAATTCATTATCGCAGCAATACTTCATGTCTCCGAGTGGACAGTCAGCTCCAAGTGCTCAATCACCTCAAACACCGTTTAGACCAACACTTAATAGTGTAAACAATAACAATAGTAATAATAATAATAATTTAACACTTAATAATAACAATTCAAACGCCAATAATAATAATAATTTCATTGTAAACAACAACCAAACGGTGAGCAATGGCTCTGCAATACACGGTCTTTTACAGCAACCAACGCAACCAAATACTCCTCAACCCATCACTTCAATCGCCACTCCACCGCCTCCTCGACCACAGTCTGTGCCCACAACTCAAACACAAGCGCCGATCGGCCAAAAGGGACCGCAAGTGGAATCAATCGTTAATATTAAAGCCGAACCTTTGGATGAATTTGTGTCCATGTCTTCATCAATACCAACACCTGTGACGACAACACCGTCTGTATCATCGGTTGCGGGCGTCAAACAAGAGCCTCCAATCACTAACGAAACATCCAGTGCTTCGAATTCTAACGTCAACTCTAATGATGTTAAGAAAGAGACTGAAGATATGGTAACCAATGAAGACATGGTTACGACTAAAAAAGAATTGGTGTCGTCGTCTCCGGCGGCCGCTAACGAGTCATCCGATATAAAGCCAGACCTGAAACCGGCGGCACCGGTGGGTCCGACCATTCAGGCCTCACAGAAACAAGTCGTACGTCAGGTCCAGAAGAAGATTTTCAAACCCGACGAATTACGACAGGCTTTAATGCCGACACTCGAAAAGCTTTACCGTCAGGACCCGGAATCGCTTCCATTTAGACAACCCGTCGATCCAACACTTCTTCAGATTCCCGATTACTTTGATATCGTTCGGCGTCCGATGGATCTCTCGACCATTAAGAAAAAACTTGATACCGGTTTGTCTCTCTCCTCTCTCTCTCTCTTCTGTCGCTTCTCTTCCAACTCTTTCTGTATTTTATATATCTTTTCGGCCAACAATCTATGCTGTTTTGGCAAACAGTTGTGTACTATTCCTAGAGATGCAAAATATATGAGTTATCAGAATAAGTATGAATTTGAAATGTATTGGATACTATTATAGGACAATACGCTGACCCGTGGCAGTACGTGGACGATGTATGGCTTATGTTTGATAACGCATGGCTTTACAATAGGAAAACCTCTCGAGTCTACAGATATTGTACTAAAGTATGGAAATAAAAATATATTTATTTGTTGTGTTTTTAAATAATAACACTTTGATTGTTGTTTTCAGTTGTCGGAAGTATTTGAGTCTGAAATCGATCCCGTTATGCAAAGTTTGGGCTATTGTTGTGGTAGAAAATACGTTTTTCAGCCTCAAATCCTATGCTGTTTTGGCAAACAGTTGTGTACTATTCCTAGAGATGCAAAATATATGAGTTATCAGAATAAGTATGAATTTGAAATGATTTGAATGTGATTTATAATGCAATTTTAATTATATCACTTGTATTCTCTTTCCAGATATACTTATTGTTTGAAATGTTTTTCTGAAATTCCTGGAGATGTGGTGACAGTTGGGGATGCCTTCGGACTCGACCCGACGTCCAGCAGTACTCAAACCATTCCCAAAGAGAAGTTTACTGAACACAAGAACGATCACTTGGATGTCGAGCCCTTCATTGATTGCAAAGACTGCGCCCGAAAATTACATCAAATATGTGTTCTCCATCTCGACACCATTTGGCCCGAAGGGTATCATTTGTTACGTCACCTATTGATTGACAATTACTCAAACCTTATTATTCATATAGTTTTACGTGTGAGGGATGTCTTCGAAGAGATGGCCGCAGACGACGCGATAATAAATATAATTCCAAAAGTGAGTGATATTTTTATTTCAATTATTGACAGCATGTAGTGCTATACACAAAGGTTTGTATAGCATTTTAACGCTATTCTACGTATATTTTGTTTATAAAATCATTTTGGTTTAAGTACTTTTGATTTGAGCGTTGAGTTTAATATAATGTTGTGATGACTAAATGAAAATGTATATTGTATGCACAGAACTGGCGAATTCGAAACTCGGAATATATATCGAGAATAGAGTGAATAACTTTTTACGTAAAAAGGATTGCGGGGCCGGAGAGGTGTCCATTCGAGTAGTGGCCGCTTCTGATAAATTTGTTGAAGTCAAGCCCGGAATGAAAGCCAGGTTTGCATTCGTTTATCTCTGGAGATGTGGTGACAGTTGGGGATGCCTTCGGACTCGACCCGACGTCCAGCAGTACTCAAACCATTCCCAAAGAGAAGTTTACTGAACACAAGAACGATCACTTGGATGTCGAGCCCTTCATTGACTGCAAAGACTGCGCCCGAAAATTACATCAAATATGTGTTCTCCATCTCGACACCATTTGGCCCGAAGGGTATCATTGATTACGGCACCTATTGATTGACAATTACTCAAACCTTATTATTCATATAGTTTTACGTGTGAGGGATGTCTTCGAAGAGATGGCCGCAGACGACGCGATAATAAATATAATTCCAAAAGTGAGTGATATTTGCATTTCAATTATTGATATCATGTAGTGCTATACAGTGTATAGCATTTTAACGCTATTCTACCAATATTTTGTTTATAAAATCATTTTGATTTGAGCGTTGAATTTAATATAATGTTGTTTTATTTAATGTTGTGATGACTAAATGAATATATATTGTATGCACAGAACTGGCGAATTCGAAACTCGGAATATATATCGAGAACTCTCACTTATTGAAAAATGCATTTTTCCTAACGCCCCGGCCTCTCCACAGGTAAGCTCATCACCGGCGAAGACTATTTAAACAACTTCAGTTCGGGCCTTACTTTCGGTCCAAACGTAAGCAAATAGACATCACTTAACATTGAAAGCATTGCAGAGATTTATATTGATTGATGTGTTGAACAGATATGTGGATACAGGCGAATGGCCGGACACATTCCCCTATCGGGCAAAAGCTTTATTTGCGTTCGAAGACATCGATGGCACTGATGTCTGCTTTTTTGGAATGCATGTCCAGGAGTACGGTTCTGATAGCCTTCCCCCTAACCACAGGTATTGATTCATTGATTACTCTATTCGATGCGATGTATTATAATTGATGTGTGATTTGTGTTCAGACGAGTGTATTTGGCGTATTTGGATTCGGTGTACTTCTTCCGACCAAAACAGTACAGGACTGCTGTGTATCATGAGATACTTCTCGGGTATTTGGATTATGCAAAACAATTGGGATATACAATGGCCCACATCTGGGCCTGTCCCCCATCAGAAGGTGGTAAAACTTCACTCAAATCAGTCTGTGTTTGAATGTGGATTCTAATGACACTTATCTGATGCTTCTTAGGAGACGACTATATATTCCATTGCCATCCGACCGAACAAAAGATACCAAAACCAAAGCGATTGCAAGAGTGGTATAAGAAAATGTTAGACAAAGGAATAATCGAGAGAATTGTTTTGGATTATAAGGATATTCTCAAACAAGCGACTGAAGACAACTTCCGGTTTGCTTCAGAGCTGCCATATTTTGAAGGTATAACATGTCCGCAAATTGCACTTTTGTTAATGCATTAATAATCATATTAATATTGATTACTTCATATCAATATATACCAAATATATAACTTGCTATTTATAGCTATAACATAGATCGTCATCTAAGCCGACAGCCGTTGGCCTAATTGCTGAACTAATTATTAAAATTGTGTATAATTTAAAGAATTTAACTAATTTTGAAAATGAAATTTTAGGCGATTTCTGGCCAAATGTTTTGGAGGATTCAATTAAAGAGATAGAAATGGAACAACAGAAACAACAGTCAGATTCTTCCAAGAATATGGATTCACTCAACAATTCTGGAAATCCGACGGACGAAGAATCCATGGGTTTGTTCCAATCCAATTGAAAGCTCAAACATTGTTTATATGATTGTTAATTGCTGTGATTTATTGTGTTAGATATGCTCGACTGTAGTGATAGTCAGAACAGCAAAGGCATGGAAACAAACGGCTCGAAAGCGACCAAAGAGACAAATAATGGCAATAATTCTAATATAAAACAAAACAAGAAGTCGAGCGGAAACAAGAAATCTAACAAAAAACAGAATCAGAGGAAGAATAACGTCCACAACGCGCGGCATAAAAGCGGCGGAACTCCTGCTAATCAACAACAGAATCCACAACAGCCACAGTTGTCTGCAGCACAACAATGGGATTCCGAATTGACGGCCAAAATATACTCAACAATGGATAAGCATAAAGAAGTGTTTTTTGTTGTGCGCCTCCATTCGAGCCAATCGGCCGCCAGTTTGCCTCCGGTTCAAGACATGGATCCTCTGACTAATTGTGATCTAATGGACGGGAGGGACGCCTTCCTGACACTCGCCCGCGAGAAACATTACGAGTTCTCAAGTCTGAGGCGCGCAAAGTTCTCCAGTCTTGCAATGCTTTATGAATTGCACAACAGTTCTAATGATAGGTTCGTCTATACGTGCAATACATGCAAAAGACATTTAGTCGAAACCCGATATCATTGCACGCAATGCGATGACTTTGATCTCTGTGTGGCCTGTTATCAACGCGACGGTCACACCCATCCCATGGATAAACTGGGCTTTGGAGACCTCGTGGGAGGTGTGGCCGGTGAAGACGGCGCTGTTACCGGTACGTCAATGTTATATCCATTTGTTATACAGTAATTGCTTACTAAATGCATGTGTTTGTCATGTTTAGGTGCTTCAGGAGGTGTTGCGACGGGAAGTGATTTGGACGGAAGCGGCGAGAACGCTGGCGGCGGCTCATCGAACACATCTCCGGGCGAATCGCGTCGCCTATCGATCCAACGATGCATTCAGAGTCTGGTCCACGCGTGTCAGTGCAGAGACGCCAACTGTCGACTCCCATCGTGTCATAAGATGAAGCGAGTCGTACAACACGCCAAGTCCTGCAAACGCAAGTCCAACCAACCCAACCAAACGGCTGCTCCCGGCTGTCCTATATGTAAACAATTGATAGCTCTCTGCTGTTATCACGCGAAGCACTGTCAGGAAAACAAGTGTCCCGTTCCTTACTGTATAAACATTAAGCACAAACTGAGACAACAACAGCTTCAGCAACGCCTACAACAGGCACAGATTCTTAAGAGACGTATCGCCTCTATGGCCAGTATGTCTCAACAGTCATCACAACCGCCTCCGACACCACAACACGACTTCAGTCCACAACAGCAACAATCGACAGTAAGTTTGCATTGATTTGCCATTGAATTTATCATTTGATGAACTAATTGTCATTTGCAGTCACAACAGCATTACATGAAACCGGCGACCGCCACACCCCCGCCTCCCGCTGCCCTTCAAGCAGTGGCTCGCGTTCAGGAAGTTGTTGCCCGACAACAACAACAGCCACAACAGAACCCCTTAAATAACCCGTACGGCAAAGGAAAACCTATGCATCACTTCCAACAGACGGCTAACGCAAACCAAACTCAACCACAAATGCAAACGCCATCTCAGCCGCAGACTATTAGACCTCCCATTCAGACACAGACACAAATGATTCAACACCAACAGAGACTGCTATTGGCTCAGCAACAACAACAACAACAGCAGCAGCAACAGCAGGTCCAACAACAACAAGTTCAACACAACAACAGGTGCAACAACAGGTGCAACAGCAGGTCCAACAGCCGTGGTATGAATCGGGTGGCAAACCTAATCGAGCGCCTCAACAGTTACAACAACAACAAAGATTCCTCCGAATGCCACAAACTGGTGGTAAACCTCAACAACAACTGATGTCTTCATCGGGCAAACCGTCACAAATGCTTTCACAACAACAACAACAACAACAGCCGCAACAACTGCTTCCACAAACCAATTCTAATCCACAAGCGGTGCAAATGATGCACACGTCTGCCAATCCATCTCAACAAATGCCAATTCAACAACAATTACAACAACAGAATCTCTTGCCTTCCGTAATGAACACTAATGTTGGGCCTCAACAGCAACAACAACAGCAGCAGATGAATGTAGGCGTTGGACAGGTATGTCACATAATGTGTAGTAATGTCTTGATTACTGGACTCATTATATTAACAATTCAGATGCAGAACTCAATTCAAGGAGGAGTGGCTCTCAACTCACTTCCAGGCAATGCCTCCCAACAGCAACACGCGCTCCAACAGCTGTTGGCCACTCTTAAGTCTCCCGCATCTCCTCAACAGCAACAACAAGTGCTCAGCATTTTGAAGTCGAACCCGGCGTTAATGGCAGCCTTTATTAAACAAAGAACAGCTCAACAGCAACAACAACAGCAGCAGCAACAACAGCAGATACAGGGACAACAGCCCCAACACATTCAACAACAGGTATGCATTACTTGAATTTAGTTTTAATTTATAGATATTAACAGTTTTGAAAATATGTGTTATAGCAAGCAATTGGCGGACAACAGCAGCAGCAGCAACAACAACAGCAACAACAGTGGTTTCAACAACAACAGCAGCAACAGAGGCAACAAATGGTTCAACAAAGACAGGCATTACAGCCACAGCAGAGACTGATGGCTAATCAGCCGCAGCAACAAATGTATTCAAACGTGACGCCCAGGTATTGGTCGCAAAACCCCAATCAGGGAACCCCTCAAAGGGGTCCACCGATGATGAGGTCTCCACCGCAACAAAGGCTTCAAAACCCGCGCCAATACATGGGTTCGGGAGTCCAACAGCAGCAACAATCTCAAGACCCGACGGATATGTTGCTCTTTCAACAGCAGAACGACTTCGGGGGCCAACAGAACCCACAGCAGAGCCAACAACAAGAGCTCACACCTCAGGACCAGTTGACCAAATTTGTCGAAAACTTATGAAGTCTTGACAACATATTAATAATTGAATTAATAATTCATGTGATTATTTGAGTGACTTTTGGTGACAATAAGTGATTGAACTAAAAAGCCGTCAATACTCTCAAACCTCTATTGCAATGATTTTCACTAAATTATAAGAGTCGACGGCTTTCTCTCTCTTTAACTTTCATTGTTTTATAGTTATTAATAATAAGGACTCAAAACAAATCAATCTTTAGTGAAAATAATGCCCAAATCAAGTGATTTAAAAATCTATTAAACATTTCATTAGTTATATTGAGTATCATTTGTGCAACAATTGAATCAATCGATCGTTTCGATCATGTTTTTTGTATAACATGTCATTTTGACCAATAAATTAATATTACTTTAAGTTATAAATCATTCTCTAATTTAAACATTATTTCGCAACAAATGATAAATCGCTCAACAATTTAATCATTTCATCAGTTATTTGTAAAAATTGTTTTAAAATTTTAAATTAAAATAATTTAATCAAAAATTAATGGAAAAAATACAATTCATATTCAATATAGAGAGACATTTATTAATCAATTTAGTAGAACTTCTTTGCAGCCGATTCTCTGCTCGCCTTATAAAACAAATAACCCATAATAATGAGCAAATGTAAGCCCATTACCATCATAAAACTCATAGTTCCCAAACATGTGGGCACAGGTGGACAGCCCACAGAGGCTGAAGCTCTCGTATCGATCCGATTGCCGAGTGATGTCAACTCCCGGTTCAGGCCATTCAGACCGTCGCGCACTTCGTTCAACGATTGTTGGATAACTTGATTCTGTTGTGCCGTTTGTGGTCCGGAATCACCCGAAGGAACGTTTTGCTGGTGTTGTTGTGATTGCAATAAAAGTGTTTTCAATTCCCGAGACGTCTGAACCACTTCTCGTTGATTTCCGAGAAGCGCTTCCACTTCGTGTCTGTTGAGCGGCATTTGTGGCGCCCCTCCGCCCGTCTGGCCCTGCATTGGTTGGACGGGTGCGGCGCCCGACTGCACGGCACTCAACATCGATAATACTCTTTCCTGTCGGCCAACGATTTCATCGAGTTTTCTGTTGAGATGTTTGACGGCTTCGAAGACCTGACTTTGGCCCTCAAAGATTTGCTTCAATTCTCGAGTCCCGAAGTCGTACTCGTCTTCGGCCGCATTGCCCTCATTCTGGAGGCGTTTGGCTTCTTCTGGATGTGCTATAAGATAATCCTCTTTCTGTTTGTCTAACTTATGTTTGTATTGTTCGTATTCGCGGGCAAACCTCTCCTTCTCTGAGTCGGCGATTCCGGCCGCGGCCTGAGGTTCACTGCCGGGAACGTGAAGGCTATACGTCAACAGTTTCAACACGTCGTGATCGTCGGCCAGACCTCCCGTCGCCGCAGACACTCCGAAGTGACCGAATTGTGGCAAAAATATGTTTTCGGTTCGCAAACAGAGCTCGTATTCGTCCTCATTATTGGTGTTTCCCGAATGAAACATAACTGACAATACATTCCTATAGTATTCAATCTTCGCCCGAACCGGAAACGGCTTATTTCGGAAGTCTCTCAAACAACCGGCCAATTGTTGGTTAATGCCATCGCTTTGGTGGTCATAACTCTTGGATCCGTCGTTAATCATAGCCATAATGTATGGATTGTTCCCTTTGTTGTCGTTGTCGAAGGAGTCGAAAAAGAGGGCCAATCCTTTCCAATTGTCTGCGGCGCCGAAGACGGGTCCCTCAGGTGTGCGCTCATCAGTGAACCAAAAGGCCAGACCGTCGGCGCCGAGTCTTCCCCTGCCGTTGACTCTGAAGACGAGCTCCACTTCCCACCACTCAAACGTGGTCTTCGTTTTGGTCCAAACGGATCCCTTTTTGCTTCGGAGCGATGGCGTGATTCTCACCATCTCTTCGGAAGCGATGGCATTGCCATCATATGTCCAGAAGGGAACCGTTCCGTCCTTTTGTGCCAAATACGGCCCTTTGAATGAATACTTGTATTCAAAGCGTTTGTGCGGCAAATCATAAGACAATTGTTGTCCGAAAAGTTCATTATTGCATAAAACGGACAAAAATACTATTAAAACGACTAAACATTTGGATAATAAATGCCACGGATTTGAGTCAAACATGTCTTAGCATTGATTAAACCCTTTGATGAACACAATTAATGGTTTGCAAAATGTGGTCAATACTCGCGAGTAATGGCTCTGAAGTACAATAAGTTATGGGATTTAATGATCACTTAAAGTCTTTAAAGACCACACTTTACACGTCATTACAGATAATAAACACAACTCTT